CCGCCAAGGTACGGATCTTGTGCAGGTGGTCGCGGACCTGAGATGAGGGCGGGATAGAGGGGGGGGAAGAGGGCCGGCCAGACCTGATGAGTTTGGACGAGGGAAGGAAGGAATTGTAGTCCGGAGGGGAGCAATGCGATAGCTTTAGGGTGGGCGAGACTGGCCAAAAAGAGTGCCACTGAAAACTCGGTTGCGGGAAGCAGTGGAAAAGAACCACAGCAATGGAGAGAATGTGAGTAGACGCCCTCTGGGGGGTCAAAGCAATGCCTGAAGGCCGCATGCGAGCACAAAAACAACGTCGTTCCAGCTGTCATACACTTGCCGCTCGTGTGTGGATTTCTTTTCTCAGTCTTGCTTAGTGCATGCACGAGGCCGTTCGTCCGCCACATCTACCGCCCTGCAGGACGCCCCCCTCTTGTCGCCCTCTCCCGCACTGACAAGAGGCCCCCTTCGCCCGTTCAGCCACGCATCCGAACACATTGACCAGGAAATTCAATCCGACGCCAGCGTCCATATGCCTTCCCCTCGACCCCTCCCCTATTCCCTCTTTCCCTTCTCCCCTCCCTTTCGCCTTCCCTCCTTGTCTATGCCCTCAACGCGTATCTGCGCTTCGGAACCGCTTGCTCCCTTTTCACAGCCCGGACGGTTTTCAGCCCTTCCTCGTGCTTCGTTAGTCGCCGTCGGATAGCACGTGTCTTCTTCCTGCGCAGATCCATGGGCATGTATTTGCTTCCTGTGAACTTCTCACGGAGCTTGGCCTTCTGGGTCTGATTGTAGACAGTCAGGACGCGAGCGATGCTTTTGCGAACCACCTTGATTTTCGCCAGTTTCGAGGCTGCCCCGCCAGTCACCTTCGCCACCCGCAGCTCGGAAAGCTCCTTCTTGAGCTCCTCCAGCTGCTTGACCATCTCGGCCTTGGACTTGGTACGAAGGTCCTTGGCTTTCAATTTACCTGACAATGGAAGGGCAGGGGAGAAGAAGCAGAAATGTCAGACAGGCAAAGAGCCGAACAGGGAGCATGGATGCATTAAAAAAGTTCAATGCAGGCACAGCGATGAGTCATGTCGGCATGCCAGGATGAAGGTGAGTGAGGCTTCGCGAAGGGGCAGGTCATCAGGCCGCAGGGCCAAAGCCGTGGCATCTTAGGATGTGATCAGAGAGGCACGGGACGCAATAGACAGTGGCTATTGAATACTGTCAATCTTCTATCATCACAATGGCATGTTATCTTATCCATCGTCCTTCGCGTGTTACGACTGGAAAGGCCTCGGGCACAGGCAAAGAGAGGACATCACGAAGAGTACTCACCTGCAACCATTTCTCCGATCGCTCCGTGACAATACCTGTGCGTGGACGATCACACCTGTAAGTGCATTAAGTATCAAACTGTGAGAGGCTCGTTGAATGCCCGCTCACTGGTGTGCATGGTTTCTGCTTGCGAGGCCCTCTTCTTTTCCTCGACGGGGCGGGTACCCCTCCATCCATGTAAAAAAACATCTATTGCGTCGATCTCTACGGATACCATGCTTCTCCAAGGTCACGCAAGCTCATCATGCTTACAGACACAAGCTTTGGCACGTTTTCGTGACCAATGACTCGCGGAACCACGGGAACTGAT